CCGGGGTCGGCACAGCCAGCCTGTGAGCCACCCGCTCAGAGTCTACCCTCAGGAGGCCCCCAACCACCCTCCCTGCCGCCCGCCTCCCCAGGGCACCGGGCGGGCCTTACCTTCTGGCCGGGCCTTGGGCTTCTGGAGCCCCCCATCCAGCATCAGCTCAAAGGCGAAGGACACGTTGTGGACCTGCAAGGGAGTGGGGTTAACGCTGGGGCCACGCTGCCCAGCCCGCCCGCTCCCCCCACGCTTCTCCGAAAGGACAGAGGGAGCCAGCGTGGACAGAGTGGTCTCTAATGACCAAGACCCAAGGGCACCCGGCCCAGGGCACGGCGGGCAGACGTCTGTTGAGGCAGCACAGACTCACTTAGTGGTCCTTCCTCCCCTCACCAGTGATCAGGAGCGGCTGGGAGACGCAGGGGTGAAGGCAGGGAGCCTGTCCCTGGGGGCTCGGGGTCCCTGTGTGTCTGCCCCAGGCCCTGGCACATCCACAGGATGAGAAGTGACAGTGGCCCCATTTTACAGATGAGGAAACTGAGGCTCAGAGGAGACAAGTCACTTCCCAGAGGTGCCGGGCCCTGGGCCCTGTCCCCAGCGCAGAGCAGCCCTTCACCTCGCCCCGCCCCCAGCCATCAGCTGACCACCATCCAGATCGGCTCAATGGCACACGCACAGCGGCCGTGGGTCCAGGCGGAGACAGGACGGGGAGAGGGAGAGGCAGGTTAGGCACCAGCCTGACTTGGGAACCGAAAGCAGCCTTCCCCGCCAGCTCCCACGCACAGGCGAAGGCGAACGGGACGGGAATGAGCGGCCTCCTCCTCCAGCCAGGGCAGCAAAGGTGTCGGAGGGGAAGGCGGGCAGGGGGATGGCCCCCAGCTGCTGGCACAGGGCCTCGCCCAGGCCGCCTGCTAGCCTCGCCATTCTCCCCAGCGGTCTCATTCCTCTGAACCAAGAAAAACTCTCTCCCCAGCAATGCTTCTGCCACCAGCCAAGCCGGGCCCGCAGGGCACGAGCCTCGTCTCCAGCGGTGCCCTCGTGGCCGGGACGTCACACGGCACCGTTTCCTGCCGGTTCCGCAGCTCGGCTGGGTCCCCTGCCCTCTCCCTCACACTCCCATTCACGTGGACTCACTGCTCCATCTCAGCGCGGGGCCGGATGGGTGCTGGGCCGCACCAGCAGCCCACCAGGTGCGGCGGGCAGACTGATACGCACTGGCTCGACTTCGAAGGTTCCCCTGGCTGCCCGCCTCTCTGACTCGTGAGCCTAGCACTTTGGGGAAATAACATGACAGATGCCCATGCGTCCAAAGCAACACGGTCAGTCCATTTGCCAAGTTTCCAAGGCGACTAAATGCTGCGGGCGGCTGGACTTCAGGAGGCCCAGGCGGGAGGCGAACAGCCCGGCCCCCCAGCGCGGGACACGGACGGAGAGCCAGCAACCCGAACGTCAAGGTTAGGCCCTTGAACCAAACAATCCTATTTGGGGAATTTTGCTAGACACAATCCACAGGAATGAAAATACATATATAGCTGTATATATACTCAAAGAAGATGCCTTGTTTTCATAGGGATAAAACAGGACCGTGTTGGTTGGGCAAGAGCCGGGGACAGGAGGCCGCAGCCCCATGGCCACGCCACGGGCTCGGCACCTGGGAGCTGGGGGAGCAGCAGGGGACCCAGCCGTGACGCCCACGTGGCACGTACAGAGGACGGGCGGGCAACTGCACCAACACTGACCACGATCACTAAGGACGATCTTGTCCGGCGGGAAATACCCGGGAGAGAACAGGGCATCCGGCCCCCGTCGGGTTTCCTTCTTTCACGTGGGCCCCGTCGAACCGCGAGGCCAGCTGTGGTGCAGCTTCATGTCTGCAGAACGCGCCCGGCCCCAGAGAGGGCTGCCGGGCACCTGACCGTGTGGCGGAGACGCGCGTACCTTCTGGTCGAAGCTGTCTGGGGTCAGGTAGAAGTTGTGCAGGGGCACAAAGTAGTCCTCCAGCAGGCCCATGAGCAGAACCAGGTACACGCCGTCTGCAAACTACAGGAAACACGTGGTGACGCTGTGGCTCGCGCACGGAGCGGCACGGCTACATGTCCACTCAAGAGGAGGAACCTGGCCTGGCCGGCGTGTCTCAGTGGGTCAGCACTGACCCATGAACCAGGAGGTCAGCGTTCAATTCCCGGTCAGGGCACATGCCCGGGCTGTGGGCTGGATCCCCAGTGTGGGGCGTGCAGGAGGCAGCTGATCAATGATTCTCTCTCACCATTGATGTTTCTCTCTCTCTCCCTCTCCCTTCCTCTCTGAAATCAATAGAAATATATTGAAAGGGAAAAAAACATTACAAACAGCTGTGCAGTGTGATCCAGTGCCATCTGGGAAATACATTTATGGACATAAAATACCTAGAAAAATGTCCATCGCACCGTGAACTACAGTGACCCCTGGAGAGGACGATGGAGGGACAGAGGGGAGGGAGGAGGGAGGGTTTCTGCCTGTCAGTTCGGATACTTCCGCACCGTTAACCTATCAGACAGCAGGTAAGCGGCGGCCGTGTGTGCACGTTAGCAAGGCGCTGAAATAATCAACGCATTCGCACACAATCCGCATGCAATCCGGGCGCTCGCTTCCCCACACAGACCCGCTGCCCGCGAGGACGGTCCGTGAGGAGGGGTCTTGGAAGGAGCCCTCGCACAGATGGCATTGCGGGGGATTTTCTTTGTTTTGCTTATCTGCCGTCTCAGACTTCCCGACAATGAACCTGAATTACTTTTTTAATTAGAAAAGCAAATGAGGAACTAGCGAGAGCGGAGTGAATGCAATCAGCCGGCTTCAGCGGATCAGTTGCGCGAGGAGCCGGAGCCAGGCCTCGCGGCTCCAGATTCCGGCCGCTAATCCCGGGGAAATGATATTTTGTCTTGACGCCCGCCGACCGCTGGGAACTCATCCCACGGTGCTATTTGCGTTTTGAGTGGGAGTAGGGGGGGGGGGAACCCTTGACCAATTCAGAGGCGAGCGGTGCTGCCCCCTCACAGCCTAAAGCCCCCGTGTTCTATGCTGCATTCTGACATCAGGAAGCCAGTCCAGAGATGTCATTCAGTCGGCCCCGCGGAAGAGAAGACGCACGTAGGGTCTGCACTGTGTGCAGCGGTGCGGTGCATGCACATTGCCTGTTTGCAAGATGAGTCCTCTCTGTACCGGTATCCATGTTGCCTTATCGGATACAAAACCCTGCTGATGTCACACGCATCACTAACACAAGATATCAAACGTGAAAAGAGCCCTGGCCCGTGGCTCAGTGTTCAGAGCAACAGCCCAGGCACCGAAGGGTCTTGGGTTCAATTCCCAGTGAAGAGCAGGCACCTGGGTTGCAGGTTCGACCCCAGGCCCCGGCCAGGGCGTGCACAGGAGGCGACCAATCAACGTGTCTCTCCCACAACAACATTTCTCTCTCTGTGTCTCTCCCTCTCCCTTCCACTATCTCTAAAAAAACCAATGGAAAACTATCCTCAGGTGAGGATTAATAACAACAATATATATATATATACACTGTCGAGCCCTCCCACCCAGAACACGGCTTGGGTCAGTATTAAAAAATGTTTGCAGGGGTCACCAGCCCTGCCTCTGCTGGGACTTTCGCCTCCGGAACTGGGAGAGGCTAGATGTCTATTGTCTAAACCAGCGGTCGCCAACCTTTCTGACCTCACGGACCACCAGGGGCCCGCGGACCACCGGTTGGCGACCGCTGGTCTAAGCCACTCGGTTTGTGAGCTTTGCTCTGACGGCCCCAGGAAAGAAAGGCGGAGGGTCTGCGACGGCGGGGGTGGCTGGGCTGGAGCTGCAGGGGGGCGGGCGTTCCTGCCGGACGAGCGTGATGGCACCTGGTTTGCTCACGGGGCCCCCTGGGATGGGAGCCCTCCCACCAGAACACACTCACCTGGGTCTCCAGTTCTGTCACCTCCAAATTCAGCTTGTTCAGGTGCTTGTTCACGAAGGTGATGAGAGACTGCAGAGGCAAAGGGGCAGGGGCTGAGACCAGCTCCCCCCGAGACAAAGGGACAGGGCCTGAGACCAGCTCCCCCCCGAGACAAAGGGACAGGGGCTGAGACCAGCTCCCCCCGAGACAAAGGGACAGGGCCTGAGACCAGCTCCCCCCCGAGACAAAGGGACAGGGGCTGAGACCAGCTCCCCCCGAGGCAAAGGGACAGGGCCTGAGACCAGCTCCCCCCCGAGGCAAAGGGACAGGGGCTGAGACCAGCTCCCCCCGAGGCAAAGGGATAGGGGCTGAGACCAGCTCCCCCCGCAGCAAAGGGACAGGGGCTGAGACCAGCTCCCCCCGAGGCAAAGGGACAGGGGCTGAGACCAGCTCCCCCCGAGGCAAAGGGACAGGGGCTGAGACCAGCTCCCCCCGAGGCAAAGGGACAGGGGCTGAGACCAGCTCCCCCCGCAGCAAAGGGACAGGGGCTGAGACCAGCTCCCCCCGCAGCAAAGGGACAGGGGCTGAGACCAGCTCCCCCCGCAGCAAAGGGACAGGGGCTGAGACCAGCTCCCCCCGCAGCAAAGGGACAGGGGCTGAGACCAGCTCCCCCCGCAGCAAAGGGACAGGGGCTGAGACCAGCTCCCCCCGCAGCAAAGGGACAGGGGCTGAGACCAGCTCCCCCCGCAGCAAAGGGACAGGGGCTGAGACCAGCTCCCCCCGAGGCAAAGGGACAGGGGCTGAGACCAGCTCCCCCCGCAGCAAAGGGACAGGGGCTGAGACCAGCTCCCCCCGCAGCAAAGGGACAGGGGCTGAGACCAGCTCCCCCCGCAGCAAAGGGACAGGGGCTGAGACCAGCTCCCCCCGCAGCAAAGGGACAGGGGCTGAGACCAGCTCCCCCCGCAGCAAAGGGACAGGGGCTGAGACCAGCTCCCCCCGCAGCAAAGGGACAGGGGCTGAGACCAGCTCCCCCCGCAGCAAAGGGACAGGGGCTGAGACCAGCTCCCCCCGAGGCAAAGGGACAGGGGCTGAGACCAGCTCCCCCCGCAGCAAAGGGACAGGGGCTGAGACCAGCTCCCCCCGCAGCAAAGGGACAGGGGCTGAGACCAGCTCCCCCCGCAGCAAAGGGACAGGGGCTGAGACCAGCTCCCCCCGCAGCAAAGGGACAGGGGCTGAGACCAGCTCCCCCCGCAGCAAAGGGACAGGGGCTGAGACCAGCTCCCCCCGCAGCAAAGGGACAGGGGCTGAGACCAGCTCCCCCCGCAGCAAAGGGACAGGGGCTGAGACCAGCTCCCCCCG